CCAACATCATATTGAATGGCCAAAACTGAAAACCTTCACGTTAAAATCAGGAACAAGACAAGGATGCCCACTATCACCACTCCTCTTCGATATAATTGTGGAAACATTAGCCATAGCAATTAGACAAGAGAAAGAAAGCAATAAAGATAGGAAAGGAAGAAGTTAAACTGTTATTATTTGCTGATGACATGATACTCTACATTGAAGACCCAAAAAACTCTACCAAAAGACTTCTCGACTTAATTGACACTTTTGGCAGAGTAGCTGGATACAAGGTGAACATGCAAAAATCAACACCCTTCTTATACACAAATAACAGACTCACTGAGAAAGAAATTAGAGAAACAATTCCTTTCACAATAGCATCCAAAGAAATGAAGTATCTGGGAATCAACCTAACAAAAGAAGCAAAAGACCTCTACACTGAAAACTACAGCACTCTGAAAAAAGAGATTGAGGAGGATTTAAGAAAATGGAAAGATGTCCCCTGCTCCTGGGTAGGAAGAATCAATATAGTGAAAATGGCCATACTACCAAAACTGTTTATACAGATTCAATGCAATACCAATTGAAATCCCAACACTATACTTCACAGAACTAGAAAGAAGAATCCAAAAATTCATTTGGAACCATAAGAGACCTAGAATAGCAAAAGCTATCCTAGGCAACAGACACATGGCAGTGTGTATAACAATTCCCAATTTGAAACTACTACAAAGCCACTGTGATAAAAACAGCATGGTACTGGCAAAGAAACAGACCTTAGGATCAGTGGAACAGATTGGAAGTCACAAAAACAACTCCAGATGCACTCAGCTACCTCATCTTTGACAAAGGAGCTGACCATCCCCACTGGAGGAAAGATAGCCTCTTTAATAAATGGTGTTGGAAAAACTGGATCTCAACCTGCCAAAGATTAAAACTATACCCTTATCTGTCACCATGCACAAAATTAAAATCCAAGTGGATTAAAGGCCTAAATATAAAAAAGTAACACTAAACTTGCTGGAAGATAAGTTAGGCAGAACTCTGGAAGACATTGGCATAGGAAAAGACTTTATGAACAAATTCTCAGTAGCATGGGAACTAGCAGAAAGAATCAACAACTGGGATCTCATCTTATTAAAAAGCTTCTGTACTGCAAAAGAAACCAACAACTAAGAGACAACCTACAATGTGGGGAAAACTTTTTACCAGCTGCTCCTCAGACAAAGGACTATTATCTAAAATATATAAAGAAGTCAAAACAACCAGCCCTCCCCAAATATGAAGACCCAATTCTAAAATGGGCATCTGAAATGAACAGACATTTCTCAGACAAAGTAAAAAAAAGCAGCAAGTAAATATATGAAAAAATGCTCCACATCACTGGTCATTCAAGAGATGCACATGAAAACAACTCTGAGATTTCACCTCACCCCACAAAGAATGGCTGCTATCAAGAAATCACACAACAACAAATGTTGGCGCGGTTGTGGGGAGAAAGGAACCCTTCTCCATTGTTGGTGGGAGTACAGACTGGTGCAACCACTATGGAAGTCAATATGGAGATAACCTCAAAGAACTAAGATTAGAGGTTCCATTTGACCCAGCCATCCCTCTGTTGGGTATCTTTCCAAAAGAATTGAAAGAATCATACCACAGTGATATATGCACACCCATGTTTATAGCGGCATAGTTTGTAATAGATAAAACCTGGAAACAGCCCATCTGCCCATCAGTTGGAAACTGTATCAAGGAGATGTGGTTTTTCTATAAAATGGAATACTACTCAGCCATAAAGAATGAGAAAGTAGATTCATTCATAGGTAAATGGGTACATTTTGAGGATATACTCCTAAGTGAAATAAATAAGTCACACATGCAAATACTGAATATTTTCTCCGGTGTGAAAATTAAAATAGTACTCAAGATCCTAATGGGACAATTAGCAATGTGAAATAGGAAGAAAAGGAGCAAAGGTGTAGGGACAGTGAGAAGGATAGGGAAAGGGGAATAAGGGAAAAGGAAAAAAATATGAGAAAATGTAAAAATGGAATTAAAGTGTCTGAAGGTGGGGAGAGGAGGAGGGGGTGAAGGGAGGGTGGGGACAAGGGGAAAAAATGAGAACCACTGGCATGTAAAGGTATAAGATCCCAGTAATGAATGTAACTGTACTGTCTACCTAGAATGTACCAATAAATTTAATTAAAAAAAGATATGAACCAAAATAAATCTTTCTTCCTTTAAAAAAAAAAAGAAGAGAAATAGCTCCCAAAGTTAGGGGTGGACCTGCCAAAGGGACTCTGTGTCTGGGAGTTTTTAATACCAAAAAATGATCCAGGCTCAGACCACCCAGGTCAGACTAAGGTCCATCTATAGGAGTAAAATGGGTTTACTTAAACTAGAAATGAGCCTGTGAGGAATTGAGGCATTAGCAAATACGAGTGTGTGTGTGTGTGTGTGTGTGTGTGCGCGCGCGCATGTGTGTGTGCGCGCGTGCATGCATGCCTGTTGGCCTTTTCCCCAAGTGGTTTATTAAAGAACGAAGTGAGAAGGAGAAAGCAGTTTTCCAGATAGGTAGGGGTAGAAGTTGTCATAGTGGCCATCTATCACCTTGCTCATTATCACACTTGTTACATCCCCGAACTTAATTGTCCACCTGTTTCTTGCTAACTCTTGACCTCAGGCTTCAAGCCTGCTCATCCTGACTCTGTTGGGCCCACTGTCTATATAGCTGCCTGCTGTTTTTTGCCTAACTTCCCTGTCTGTAATTCTAAGAGTGGAGTGAGTACTTTACCAGAGAGGCCATGTGACCCAGCAAGCACAGTACTTTGGAATGGGACAGCATGCCACCTGAAAGAGACCTGATATGAAGCTAGTATATGCTGGAGCAGTTACGGTGGTTCTGGACTTCTTTTTTTGTTTTTTTTACTCTGGACTTCTTTAAGAAGGTGGCACTAACAGAATGTGATGAGAGAAGATCTCTCCAGCTGAGAGACTAGATAGTAAGTTCGAGGTTAACAAAAAGACACACATCAAAGAGAACCAATCATAATACACAATAAGACAGCAATGAGTAGCATGTATAGAATCATGCTAAGTAAACACCAAATATTAATCGAATGAAAATTACAATATATTGAGAAAATTATAGGGAGTGATAATAATTTCAGATTCTCTTCTTACATAGTTGGGAGTTCCATACATAATTCTTACAACAAAACAAATCAAGAAGTAATGTTATATGCACATTAGAGGGATGTATACAAATGGTGAAGAATAAGCTAAAATGAGTTAAAAGTGGTTGCTTGTGGGGAAGGAGATGGAGGTTAGGAGATTGCTATTTTCTTAACAAAAGACTCACAGCTCTAATACTATTGAAACTATATGCAAGCATAATTTTGATTTAACAATTAGAAAACAATTTACTATTTTGGTGATTCAAATTCATAGTCTCTCTTCCCTCCCCTCCCCTTTGTCTCTGTCTCTGTCTGTCTCTGTCTCTGTCTCTGTCTCTTTCTCTGTTTCCTTAAATGCCTCAGGCCATTAAAACAATCAGATTTAGCCTGTGCCTTCACATGAGTATTTTATATTGTTTGGATTAAGTGTATAGAGTGTTGTGACTAAATACACAGTAGAGATTGTGACTAGAGAGCCAGCGAGGACTAGGGATACTTAGGAGGAATAATAGTCTCCTGGTTCATTGGTTGAAGTGATAGAAGAGGAGAGAAATATGATTGAGTTTCCTATTTAGTAAGTGTAGACCACCATAACCCACATCTCTTGCTAATGAGCAGGTGCGGAGAGTACCAGGTTCCAGTGGCCGACTTCACAAGACAGAGGACGGAGGCTGGGAGTGGAGTGATGATGAATTTGATGAAGAAAGTGAGGAAGGGAAAGCTGCAATTTCACAACTCAGAGTAAGTTTGTTATTCTGTATTCTTTAGCTAGAATTTTCTGTGATTCTTACTTAATTTTAACTAGCTAAAATATAAAGAATAAGAGTATTACTGATAGAATTTCTTTGAACAGCTTGTTAGTAGGGGCCCACTTAGTTTACTTGGGAAATAAGATTGGCACATCTGTTTGAATATGATAATATTTCAAGTATGTAAAAAATCCAGAGATTAAAACTCTGTCTGAGATGAAAAATACACTGGATAGGATTAATGTTTAGGTACACATTGTCCAAGAGAGGAATGCTGGTTATCCTACTTGAAGAGAGCAGTGCGTCTCTTCTTTCTTTGGTGTACCCCAAATGTGTATCTTGGGTGTGTGTATGTGTGTGCAAGTGTGTGTTGTGAGTCTGCTGGTGATGATTTCTTAATGATTTTGTGACTGAAAACATATCTCATTTACCTTTGTTTTCAAGAAATGTGTTTGTAGGTTGTAAAGTTCTAGATCGTCAGCTTTTTATTTCAGGAGTTTCCTCAACAAATATTTGCTATTTTACTGTATGTCAGATGTTCTTCTAGAATTTTTAAGAGGTATCATATATGGGCATAATTTTGTGTGCTTAAAGACCTTTCATTTAACTGAGGGAGAAAGTAACATATACTTGTTTATTTATTTATTTATTTTTTTGGTATCTGGAATTGAACTCAGGTCCTTGCGCTTGCAAAGCAGGCGCTGGAACCACTGAGCTAAATCCCTGGCCCAAGTAACATATATTTGAAAAGGTCTTTGTAAAGTGTCTTTTTAAATTTAACTTTGCATTTCTTAATTATGTGGTAATTTAAAAATGTTTATTATTTTTTATTAAATTATAATTAGATAACTTCTAGGTTTTCATACTATTATGTGGGATTGGCATTTAAAAAATAACTTTAAGGGCCGGGGATGTAGCTCAGCGGCGCAGCACCTGCCTATCAAACACGAGGCCCTGGGTTCGATTCTGGTACCAAAAAAGAAAAGTAAAAAAAAAGACCAAAAAAAAGCCCCTTAAAAAATAACTTTAAAATATATTAGTATGTTGCCTTGATGCTCTCCCTAGCCATTTTTTTTTTCTTGGTACCAGGGATTGAATTTAGGACCTTGCATTTGCAAGGCAGGTGCGATGCCACTGAGCTAAGCCCCCGGATTTGGTGCTCTCAATATAAGCTCATTTATCAATTGAATCATTCTAACCTCATTGTGACTTAAATATATGTATTTTTTACTGATAACATATTTGTACATCTTTATGGGGTACAGTACAGTAATTTGATACCCATATACAGTATATAATAATCAAATCAGGGGAATAAGTACTTCTGTCTCTTCAAACATCATGCATTTTTGTGTGTTGAGAACTTTGTGCTCTTCTAGATATTTTGAACTATACCATTTATAATTTTGTCAGTATTTTAAGATATTTTTCTATCATCCATGTTTTCACTGAGAAGTTTGGTGACATCCTTACCTTCTTTCCTAAGTAGCATTTCTTTATATTCTGGCTGCTTTTATGATTTTTCCCCCCTTTTAAATGATTTTTGAACAATTTGCTTAAGCTATACCTATGTATATTTTTATTTTCTTTTTAAAAAGTAGGTGTGTTTTTCTGTGTGTTTTTGTGCTTAAGATTTATTGAGCTGCTTGGATGGCTTTTATGAAATTTATGATTTTTTTATCCATTATATTTTCAAATACATTTTCTGTTTTCCAGTAACATGTATATTAGGCTACTAAAAATGGTCTCACAGCTGATTAATTCACTTTCCAGTTTTTTTCTTTCTGTTTCTAATCCCATTCAACCCTATTTTTCATGTCAGGCTTTGTAGTAGACTAGAAATTTTATTTTTTATTTTTGGTAGTACTGGGAAATGAACCTTTGGCCTTCAAACTAAACTACATCTTTAGTCCTTGTTTAATGTTCTGAGATAGTATCTAAGTTGTCTGGCTGGTCTCAGATTTGGGATTGTGAGCCTCCTGTTCTACAGTGCTGGGATTACAAGCATGTGCCCCCATCCCTGGTTCTACTTCATTTTTTAATTCATTTGAAATAATTATTTTAATGTCTTTTTCTGCTAATTGTAATGTCAATGTTATATGGAGTTCTGGATTAGTTTTGTTTGGTTGATTATTTTTTTCATACTGGCAAGAGGGATGTTTTCTTGCTTATGTGTAAACAGTAATCTTTAATTGGATACCAGACATTCTGAATTTTACCTTTTTGCATGCTAGTAGTTTTGTGTCCTATAAATCTTCATGAGTTTCATTCTGGGATACAGTGAAGCTAGTTGGAAATTGGATATTTTTCCTATTCTCATGTTTCTTCACGTATATTTATTGATGCATGGTCTGCTGAATACTCATGGGACCTTTTGCAGATCTCTAGGGTTCTCTCTGGGTAGCTCTTTCCAGCCAGTACTTTGTCTTCTCTGCCTTGGTCTCCCTGGTTTCTTACTTCTGTGCTGTTCAGGCAGTTCACTGGATTGCATTTGGGCTCCCTTCCTGGAGGTCTCCATAGCTTGGAAAAAACCGTCTTGACAGTGTGCTAGAACAGGATTCACCACTTCTGTTTCCTGGGTTTGCAGGATCACTTTTTGTATTTGACAGTGTGTTAAAAACCTTTGCTTTATATATTTTGTCTTTTTCTTTTCTCCTCTTTTCTTCCTTCTGTCCCTTTATCCCCTTTTCTATCTTCCACTTCCTCCCTTCTGTTTCCCCTTCTCCTCTTTCTCCCTTAAGAGTAAATCTAGTCTCGTCTTTTGTGGCCAAAAGTGGAAGGCTGTGGCCAGAAGTGGAAGTAAATATATAACTACACTAAGAGGGTATGAAAAGCACTAATACAGATTACCTTGGCTGGGGATTTAGCTCAGTGGTTCCGCTGCCTGCCTCCCAAGCGCAAGGACCTGAATTTTATCCCTGGTAATAAAACAAAACAAAACAAAAAAACCCACGAAAAAAACAGATTACCTTTGAGCACAGTTTTTGACTCTTCTCAGTCTTAGGTATTATTGGTAGGAGAAAGTAAAACTTCAGCCAAATCTTGCTCTTTTACTGTGGTTGTTTTAATAGCTGATATGTAAGCAGTTCTGAAATTCTTGTAGATGTATTAGAGGATTGAGCAAGTGAGTAAATACCTTGATGTTCTTGGGAGCCAAGACCAATCATGACAGAAGAGAAATACAAATATGAAATAGAGAAAATGAGAAATGAGAAAGAATCCTGTGGGGATGGTTGTGAATTGTAAGTTGTATCAGATAGAGTTCACTAGAGGAACAGATTTAATATTATACATATAGATAGATACATAAATATAATATATGTGCAATATATCAAAATTTACAAGTTAAGCTTAAAATAGCCATCTACAAATGAACACTGGAAACCCGAAGGAGTCAGTCAAAAGTCAAAAGCCTGGAGCTCATGGCAGAATCCTGTGCAAGTCCATATTAGGAAGCCAAAGTGTCTGCACTAGAAGCCTGGAGACAGGCATCCAAAGGTGATAAAGACTGGAGCTCCTCTGAAGAAAAGAGAAGTGTAACTTGTTTCTTTCTCTTTTTATTCCACCCAGGCCACAAGCCTATTGGTTGGTGCCATCCACATCCATGACCTAGACCAGGGTGGATCTTCCCTCTTCAGTTATCAGTCATACACACACACACTGACAACTATGCTAAACCAGTCCGCCATGTTGTCAGGTGGAGGTCTGAGGGGCTGGGGTCCTCCCATGAAGAGACTCTCTGCTTCCCTGATTTGTCTTTCCACTCTGGTAGGAATGCAGAGATGGAGTGAGGCCCATTCAGAACAGAAAGTCTCTGCACAGAAAGAGAAACTCAGATAACGAAAGTGAAGTAAAGCAGAATTTTGGTATTATTGCAGGGGTGGGGGGTGCTGCCACACATCAAGCAAGCTGTATGGCAGGGAGAAACTCAAGGTGCAGTTCTCAGCCTGGTGAGCCAGAGTTCACTGGAGCTAAGGGCACCCAGCAGAAAGTATGCAAAGGTCCTACAAGGACAGCCACTTCCGCTACATCATGCCACGAGTAAGCTTGTGGTTATCTCTGTATTCTAGCCATCCGGCTCGCGCCCTGTGCTGCCCACTCCTCCCTAACTATCTCTACAGCTAGCTGTTTCTTACATTGACACCACAATTAACAATCACATGTATTGGTGTGTATTCATGTTTTCTAAGGAGTGTGTGTGATGTAAATGTATATGTGCACAAGAAATGTATATGTGTATTTCCTGCATGTTATTTCTCTTTGTCTACTTAAAGGCCTGCAAGCAAAGATACTTCAATAACAGTGAGAACAAGTTACATAGGCCCAGATACTTTATTCTCATGTTATTCCCAAGTAAAAGAACCAAGAACCATGAACCGAGGCTTCTTGAGAAATGGTTGGATTGGGGGCTTGAGAAAGAGAAATAGAAGTTGAATTAGGAACATCTTTTATTGGTAGAGAAAAATGCTTACACACACAAAAAAAGATGACAAACATAATAGCACAGAAGCAAGCACGAAGGAACTTATACTAGCCAAATCTGGTACTAGGCATTCAAATAATTGTAATTATGAATTATAAGTTATTTTACAAATAGGGGATTACGAGTTCATACCAGTTATAAATCAGTATATAAATAAATAAAGGGCAGGAGATGGTTCTTCATACATAGCTTGCCAAGTGGTGAGTAGTATATATGGAGAAATGTTGGAGAAAGAAAAATCAATTTTCAACCCTTGTAAAGATTGAGTCATGGATCAGCATTGCTGGGTGTGGAGTACAGGGGAAGTTTTGATGAGAGGATATTTTCAAGGTCTCTCCACAGATTCCCTATTAGCTGTAAGAGGAAAAGGTAGCTGATATCCTAGAGCAGTGGTGGTGAATCTGTGGCATGCATGTTATTGTTTTTCTTTTTGAGAAAAAGATTTAGTGTAGAGTTCTTTTTTCCTAAACTAAAACTGTAGTATTGAGGGTCAATCTCAGTGCTGGCACTTTTGGGCTATAGTTTGGCACTTGATCATCATCACTGTGGTAGAGGATTTGGAAAGTTCCTTGACATAGTGATTAAAAGTAATCTCACCAGTGAGGGGCAGAGTAGTAGTTCATACCTGAAGGAGGACATATCATTCCATAGGGTTCTAGCTGGGAGTCCATATAAGCCTAATTATGAAAAAGCATCAGACAAACTCCACATGAAAAAGTTCTATCAAATAGGGTATGTGGTTGGGAGTAGGGGTTACTATATCCCCCCTCCCGCCAATATTGTAGATTGATTCTAGAGCCTCTCGTGTATAAAGTGTGATCAGAAAATATAGTAAATGGTTAAACTTAAAAAATATTTATTATAGTAAAAGACACAGTGCCATAAATATCCCTCACAGAATTCCCCTTTGCTGTGAACACGCTTATGTTTTTGTTTTTGTTTTTGTTTTTTGGTACTGCAGGTCAAACACTGGGACCTTTTGCTTGCAAGGCAGGCAACAGAAGCACTGAGCTAAATTCCTGGCCCCACACTTACCTTGTTTGCCATTTTCTGAAGCAGTTCTGGAGGTCCTCTTTTGTGAGTGCCTTTAGTTGTACTGTTGTAGCTACCTTGATGTCCTGAATCTATTTGAAGTGTTTACCTTTCACAATCACCTTGACCCTGGGGAAGAGCCAGAAGTCACACAGTGCCAGATTTGGTGAATAAAATGGATGAAGATTCAGTATAATGTTTTTATAAGCCCGCCCTTGTGTTAAATGGTCTTTTTTAGCAGAGGTCCTCATTTTTGTAAATACCCAAAAGAGGACTTCCAGTTGCCTCACAAAGTGGCAGGAGCCCCATAGGATAATATATTCAAACAAAAGAGGAATATTTAGAGGGATGTTAATTGGCAGTGTCATATAAGTTACAGTCTTTTTTTTTTTTTTTTTTTTTTTTTTTTTTTGGTACCAGGGATTGATCTCTGGTCCTTGTGTTTGTGAGGCAGGCGGTAGCACCACTGAGCTAAATCTCCGGCCCTATTAAAGTCTTCTACTGTAATAAAATTTTTAAATGTAAGCGCACACCATATTTTTTAATCAGCTCTTGTATACTAGATGAATACTCTACCACTGAGCTATACATCTTCAGCCCTACTACATTTTCCAAAACTGTTGATGTTCCTGATTTTGAAATTTTTATAAAGAGACCTGACAGCTAACTGTAACCCATGATCCTACACTGCATCCTATACTGGAGATAAAACACAAAAGTAGAAGAAAACATGAGTCAACTAACTGATAATTAGATGATAGATGTCAATTATATAAAGTATTCTTTTTTTTTTTGGTACTGGGGATTGAACCTGGGTCTTTGCGCTTGCAAGGTAGACCACGAAACTGCTGAGCTAAATCCCCAGCCCAATATATAAAGTATTCTTAAATCTACTGAGGTCTATAACTGTAGTGTCCTTATGTAAGAAAATAAGCAAATATGTTTTCTGTTTAGTGATAAATAGTCATAATATATGCAACTTAGTCTCAGATGATACAGAAAACACACGATTTACTATAAGCTTTTGGAAAAAGAGAAAATGACTTTCAGAATAGAAGAGAAAAAAATTAAAAGGTGAATCTGAATAGATCAGACCACTGTTCTGTATATTGTTCTTTTTTTTTTTGTTTTTTTTTGTTTTTTTGTTTTTGAGGCATGGTCTCACCATGTAGTTGAGACTGACCTGGAACTCACTATGTAGTCTAGGCTGGTCTCAAACTCACAGTGATCCTTCTGCCTCAGCCTCCAGAGTGCTGGGATTACAGGCTCGTGCCACTATGCCCAGCTTATTATTCTTATTTTAGCACCTTTTTTTGTAAAAACAAAACAGCAACAAAGAAAACTTGAAATTAATTGTGAATTTAGAATTTTAAGAAAAAGTTTTGGCTTGTCCACTTGGTATGATACATTAGCTATTACCAAACCTTCCCTGAACTTTGATTCTCCTTAATAAAATGATAATGAAAAATTTTAAAACCTTAAGTGATCTTTTGTAGTCTAAGTCCATAGTTGGTTGTGTTTGTTTTTGGTAACTAGTGTCTGGATCCAGAATTACTATAAGATGTTATGATTTTCCTAATAAACCTAGCTTAGATTTTCATATGGTGGATCATATCAGTCATTTTCAAATAAATTTGGTTTAGACCAGGTACTTAAGAATTCACCTTATTTTGTATTAACACATTAATTTATTTCATGTAGCCATTCTTTTTTTTCTATTTCCTGTAGCCATTCTTAATATTCTTTATTTTACCCACATTTATGTACCAGTCTAAATATCTAGCAACAAGAGGTAGAATAAGACTTTTTTTCCCCTTTTATAAAGTTACTTACTTTAATTTTACAAATTTATGGATTATAATGTGATTAGATACATATATTCAGTATGTAATGATCAAATCAGGGCAGTTAACATTTCTGTGTCCTTAACATTTCTTTTAAAATTTTACAGTATAGTTACTGATCACATGAAGGCAATTAACATTTCAATTATTATTATTACTTTGTTGTTGATTTCAAGCTTCTCTCTTGTAGTTATATGATATATATAGATACATATAAAGATATAGATATAATTTTATACCAGGGATTGAACTCAGGACCTTGCACTTGTGAAGCAGTCATGGCACCACTGGGCTAAATCCCTGGCCCCTATATTTGGTTATTTTGAACTGTATTCACCCCAGTGTTCTGTGGAATAGGGTCCCTCTTGGTACCTGTCTGTGGCCTGCTACGAATCAGGTTACACAGCAGGATGTGAAAGGTGGGTGAGTAAGGGAAGTTTCATGTGTTTCAGCAGCTCCCCATCATTCACGTTACTGCCTGAGCACTGCTTCCTGTCAGATAAGTGGTAGCGTTAGATTCTCACAGGAGCGCCAGCTGTGAACTGTGCATCTGAAGGATCTAGGCTGTGTACTTCTTATGAGAATTTCATGCCTGATGATACAAGGTAGAGCTGAGGCTGTGATGCTTGTGCTGGGGAGTGATTTCAAATACAGATTAACATTAGCAGAGAGGCTTCACTGTGCAGAGACCACAGTGAATCACCTGCTTCCAAACTCATCAAAACCCTGTCAGTGAGTGGCAAGTGATTTTGTGTTATTGTAAATTATTGTGTTTTGAAAATATGTTGGGTAATTAGCTTGAAGGCTTAGATTTGGTTTGATTTTAGGCACATAATATATTCATGATTAGTACAAAGAATTTTACTTTCAATATGTCTTCCCTACTGCATGAGAAATGTAGCAGTTTGCTGATATAGCTCAAGTTGTGAAATTTTAAAATATTATATATATATATATATATCATTACAGGCTATGTGGGCAAAAAATACAATAATATGACAGTTTTCTTTTTTCAGAAAATTTGAGTTGCTTGTCAGAGTCATGAATCAGAGTGAAATGACTTGATTTGCATTAAGCATTGCTTGTTACTTGGAACTAAGTAACTGACTATAAATTCTGAGTTAATGAGCATCTTTTTCTTTTTTGTAACATTTCTTTTAGTCTCCTCGGGTGAAAGAATCATTAACAAATTCTGAGGTAAGTAATCAAGATTGCTGAATCTTTGCTAAAACTGTCTATGCTTTTGTTTTATTTTGATTTTAATTATGAGTGTCTTTTTTTTTTTTTGGTGTGGACTAAATGGGAATGAGACTTTATACTAGCTAAGTTTTAAAAGATGGATAAAGGGCCCAGAATGTTCTTCCTTGTTTCTTTAACTTTATAACTTGCTTTTTTACTGGGGCTGCTTGAAGTGTAAAGTTGTCTTTTTGTATTAATCTGCCCAGGGCTTTGTCATATTGCCACATTTCCTTTTTGAAGTGTTTTTCATCTTTTTTCTTGTCAAACATTATGTTTTTTTGTTCTTACTGCCTCAATATGATAGGAAATCCCACTAGACAAAACCCATTTAGGCTGTTTTGCTATTAAAAACTAGAACCAATGAATAACACTTCTTTTTTTTTTTTTTAATCTGTTGCTAGCGATTGAACCCATGACTTTTGTGGTGAACTACATCCTCAGCTCTTTTTATTGTGAGACAGAGTCTCACTGAGTTGCTCAGGTTGTATTTGAACTTGTGATCCTCCTGCCTCAGTCTCTCATAGTGCTGGGCATGTGCAAACATGCCTTGTGCCACTGAGTAACCTTTTTTTTTTTTGGTACTGGGGGGATAGAACTCACGACCTTATGCTTGCGAAGCAGGAGTAGTGCCACTGAGCCCCCGGCCCACCATTGAGTAACTTTTGACTTCTTTTTATATATAAAGTCAGATGAACACAAACTTTTATTCCTGTCTCCTGGATTTTACTTACATAATATCAGCTAATAGTTCTCTGTTGTCGCCCTTTGAACTTTTTATCTATGTATTCTAAATTTTGGCCATTGATATTTTTCCCACTCACTTTTAATTTTTTTTGTACTCAACATCAATCCTTTTCCCAAAACAACATCATAAAAATGTATGAAATATTTGAAAATGTATGAAATAATATGTAATAGACTGGGTGTGGTGGCACATGCCTATAATCCCGGCACTCAGGAGGCTGAGGCAGGAGAATTGAGACTGAATTTGAGACCAACCTGGACTACATAGAGTTCCAGGTCAGTCTCAACTACATAGTGAGACCCTGTATCAAAAAAAAAAAGAAAAGAAATAATATGTAATAAATCACAGAGCTTCATTTCTGAAATGTATTTTGGATATACTTAAGGAGTTATTGCTTTTTTTCTTTTTGGTTATTGGGGATAGAACTTGGGTCCTTGTGCTTATGAGGCAGGTGGAGGAACCATTGAGCTAAATCCCAAGCCCTTTTGCTTAATTTTTTTTTTACCTGTAAGGAAATGTCTTACATATCTTAGACCAACAAAATGCTTGAAGGTGGATAATTCTCTTTAAGAAGAGATTTATTTAGCGCACAGTTTCCAGAGGCTGACAATCACAAGGGTAAGATGGGGTGGCCACATCTGGTCAGCCACCGGAGAGGACCTTTGTTAGTATTATAGCATAGCAAATGGCATCACATGGTGGGAGCTTATGTAAGAAAAGTCATGTGACAATAGAGAAAGACTAGCAGGTTCAGATTCCCTCTAAACCTACCTGTTCTCACAGGAGAGAACCCACTGCTGCAAGACCAGCATTAATTCCTTCACAAGAGTGGTCATGACCCAGTCACCTCCCACTAGACACAGCCATTTAAAGGTCTTCTTTGTTTGTTTTGTTTTGTTTCATTTTTTAAGACAAGGTCTTGTTATTCAGTAGTTCAGAGTGGCCTTCAACTTGCTCTGTATCCCTGGCTGGCTTCGAACTCTTGGCAATCTTCCTACCTCAGCTTCCCTAGTGCTGTAATTATAGGTGTGTGCCACCACACCTGGCTGGCCCAAAAGTCTTGCTTCCCCTTTTAGTACCATTATATTGGGAATTAAACTGCATTGTGAGTTTTGGCAGGGACAGCCATAATCCAGCCATAGCACCATGCATAGAAAAAAGTAGCTTTACACACTTAAATCTGTGTTTTAGAGATGATATTTTGCTGGTCAAAGTGGTGGAATGTTTGTTTAAAAATAAATATGATGCCAAGTGACAGAAGCTGGTCACAAAGACCATATACTATTGCTAGTCTCCCTCAGAAAGTCTCTAGTCCCATCTGCTCTGTGTGCAATGCAAGGATGAAGAAATAAATGCACTAAAACAGAACTAAGATAAAAGAGAGGACTGGGACCGCCTAATGCTTGGTCCCCAGCAAAAGACCCTGGTCAGTTGCATCGCTGAATTGTATTATTCATCTGTAGTATGTGCAGTTGCCATGGAAGCTAATGCAGGCAAAGCTTTAAAGAGAAGAGTCAAAGCATTTTCCAAATAGAAGCAAGATAGACAAAACATATGGTTATAATTAGAGCATTGTCGTTCTAGCTATGAAGGCACTAGTTGTGGGAATGGAATTCGGGTGTGATTTACTCCAATCTCAACTGCACATGTTGTCTTGTAATAGCCCTGCAGACTCTTAGGCCGTTACTCTGGTCTTAGCCGTGCTGTTCGTGGGGAGATCATATTGGCATGAAAGAATTAACTATAAAGGTACAAGAGAATGAGTGATAAAAGTGTTCTAAAACTAGTTTATAGTGAAGCTTATACAGTTCTATAATTGTGCAAAAATAATTTATACATTTAAAATGGATGAATTTTAAAGGATGTAAGTATACCTCAGAAACTTGTTAATATATAAAGCCCTAGCAATATTTGACTTCATTTGGAATATATTCAGAGAAGTGGCAGTAAGCCAGTGCAGTGGCACCTCAGTGCACAAGCACATTGTTTGTGAACAATTTGGTTTGCAAACATAAGTATTTGGCAAAATTTTGTTTTTGTTTGCAAACTCTACATTGAGTGACAAACACAACCGCGGCCATCTTTCCCACACAAACACGAGCATGGTCATCTTTCCCAGAATTGGAGAACAAATGAAGTTCATGTACCGAGGCACCCCTGTATGTGACACAAAATACACTGTGCAAATGTCACCCTGTAAGGCTCCACGGGAGTCTCCTTTTCCACTTAGCAACACTGTGTGTGCTTTTGTTACAGCTCTTTTCAGCAGCTGATCCCATGGGCACTTTGCTCCAGGTTCCAGAACAGATTTCTGCTCATCTACCTCGGCCAGCTGGGCAGATGCCTACACAGCCAACTCAAGTTTCACTTCTGCCCCCTGCAGAGCCAGCAAAGACAGCTCAGGTAGAGTGAGGATGTGTGCCATTGGTTGCCTCGTGGGTAAAGGAGAAAAGCAGATGTCGATGAGAGCTCAGTCTCTCCATAGATTATGAAACAAGTTAGAAATTCTGTCTTCGTAGTTTTAAATATGAGCAGATATGAGACATATACAAAAAAGCAACAAAAGAAGTTAATGATGAAACATTTAAATACCAGAAAGTTTTGGCCAATTTCTTTTCAGGTCTGTAGTAAGTCAGTGTTAAATTTAGCTTTAGATTTAAATTTAGCTTTGGATTCATACTGCAACTAGGAGAATCGTCTGCTCTGCCGTTTTCTGCTTGCTCACTTATGTTGGTACTGTTTATTAATACTTTCCCCAGGCTATAATTTCTGTGAATGACTCTTTTGAACATACTGGTCAATTTTCTGAGGGTTGATTTTGTCAGAACTAGGTGATATAATCCATAAACTCAGTCCAGAACGCACAAACTTCACTCAGTTGTAGCTTGCTGCAAGCTGCTGAGTGAGTGAAGCCCCCAGCGTAAACCCCTGCTTCTGTGAATTCCTGTACCCGCCTCAGGAGACCTCCAGTCCTGAATAGAACATGTCAGCTTTTGCCATGTGGCTAATGGAAGACTTCAGTTTCAGTTTATTTTTTAAATACTGGAAGTTTTATCTTTTTCTAACATTTTAGATGAAAGGAAATGGAAGTTCTGAGTTTTCCTTTTACCCCTATGTGTTTTATCTTTTGCTCTATATTTGGAAACTACCGCTCTGCTCTGAGCACTTGCAGTTAGTCATGGCAGTGGTTTCATTTAACCATTTCTGCTCATAAGGGCAAAATATGGTGGTTTTAGGAAGGAATATGGAAAGATTTTTTTCCCCCAGTGCCGGGTTTGAACACAAGACCGTAAGCATGCTAGGCAAGTGCTCTACCACTAAGATACACTCTCATCCCTTTTTATTTATCATTTTGAGACAGTGTTACTTACTAAGGGCTTACATACAGGGCTGCTTACTGAGTTGCCCAGACTGGCCTCAAACTTAGGATCCTCCTGCCACACTCTCCCAAGTGCCTGGGATTACAGGCATTCATTACTGTGCTTGCCAAAAAATTGGGTTGATTATGCATTAATGTAAAATAGATGGTATGTCTTCCAGTGAGCAAAAGATAGCTACATAGTTTTTAGAGAGATTTAGGTTAGCCATAAAAAGATCTGGAACTTTGGGGTGAGTAAATTCCTGAGAGGCAGCTCATTTAGGCCCAACCTTGTGTGTTGCCACATGGAAGATATTGCCAGAGGGGGTGGTTCTTTTCAATATAAGGTCTCACTGTGTATTCCAGGCTGGCCTCAAACTTGCAATAATCCCCCTGCTTCAGCCTCATGAGTGCTGGGATTTACAGGCATGCACTACCATGCCCAACTTAGGCTGATTTTTTTTTGTTTGTTTTTTTGTTTTTTGTTTTTTGAGACAGGGTCTCACTATGTAGTGAGACTGACCTGGAACTACTATGTAGCTCAGGTTGGTCTGGAACTCACAGTGATCCTCCTGCCTCAGCCTCCTGAGTGCTGGGATTACAGGCATGTGCCATCACGCCTGGCCTGGCTGATTTTTTTTATAGTTTCACCCCCAATTTGTGTGTGTGTGTGTGTGTGTGTGTACTGGGGATCGAACTTGAGAACTTGCACTTGCAAGGCAAGCGGTGGAACCACCCAACTAAATCCCTGGCCCTTGATTTTTTTATAGTGAGGAACTTAGCTTCATGGTTTTTACACTTGTACAGGGGAACAGGGTCTGAAAAAAACACAGAATATAAATGTGGGTATGTATGGCAATTCTGGGTTTGGGATGCAGGCTGACCTTTAGCTGCTATTCTACTTTGGAGTGCTGTCTCCCTGGGCAGAGCCTGTCTTAGGAGAGGATGACCTCAGCTGGAGGGGATGGAAATAACTGCCAAACAGATGATTGCTCTATGCACTGTTAGTCACGTCCACGCCTAGTCTTCCTTGCAATAACTTTATACTTTTAATGCATTTTAGGCTTTGTCTTCGGGAGCAGGTTCACAAGAAACCAAGGTCCCTATCAGTCTAGTACTAAGATTAAGGTAAGTGTTTTGTGAGCACTTTGGAGAAGTTGCAATCATTTGTGCCTGAAAGTGACTGGATAGGATTCTGTGTGTCCTGAGCATGAGTTGCTCTTTGTTTCCAGGTGTATTATTTTCCTCAGAAATAATAGCAACAGTGTGAGCACCTGGCTGTTAACACGCACTGTGCATGTGTCCTTTTAGTTTTTTCCTGCCGATAGTGACTAGTGTGTACACTTGCAGAATAGCTAGTCTGGGTTACACAGCATGGTCTGTAATGAGGGACAGTTCTGAGAGAAGCAGTGTACCAGCTGAGTTCTATAGGCTGACCATACAAGCCTCGTAGACTCAAGGATGAACTAACTCAAAAGGGGACTGACTGGTTCTGTGATTGTGGTGGATCAAATGGAGATGAAAAGAAAAACCTGAATATACTTTTGGTATTTTCTCTTTTTTATGACAAATACTGTAATGGTGGGTTTTGGTGGGAGTATATAGAGAAGTCTTGACAAGTTCCCCAACAGAAAGTGCCACTGAAGGTAGCAGTCTGAGCATTTTAAAGTTCCCTCTATCGGTCAGCTTTCCCATTGTCGGGACACAATATCCAATATCCGTAAACTAAAGAGGAGAGGTTTGTGTTGGCTCAGTTTCAGAAGTGACAGTGTCCAAGTGGGTGGCTCCAAGGCAGAAGTCACAGTGGAAGGGCAGAGTGGAGCAATGCTGCTCACTTCATATCTTCTGGCACCAGAGGGAAAGAGACAGGGACCAAATCCAGTCCCCACGGCCATGCCCCAGTCACCCAGAGCATACTACCAGTCTCTTCGGGTATTTCAAGCCAGTCAAATTGACATGTCCCCTCTCATGGTAGCATGTGCTTAGATTAGGTTCTGTAGTTTCTTACCAGAATAATTCAGGGTCTCACTGAATTCCTGTTGACCAGTCCCCCACTGCACATGTCAGTTTGTAGTTGTCATCTCAGCAATGTGGTTATTCGAGATTGAGGTAATAGCTGTTTTGAGAAGCTTTTGATCTTGCACCTAGAAGCAGCAAAATTACACCATGAATGTGAAGAAAGCATATCTGTTTACTTTTCACAGAATCCTACTCCATAAAGCTGTTCTCATCTTAAGGAGTTCTGAATTAACAGGATACTGTGGTCACCTAGTCCTGTCTTAATAATACATAAATAATAGTCATCACTTTAAAGAAGTTTCTTTTGAAGTCTTTTAGCAGGTAATACCTGTGTGTTGCAGGAAGTGAATCATTTTCCTTTTCTGGGGAGCATGGTTTTTAATGAGCAGTGTTCCAGACTGTTTTTGGAAACAAAAGGCTGGATTCCTTTCCACATGGATGAAGCTAAATGGTTCCTTTGATAATCAAGTCTAAGTTAGGTGTTGATTTGTAGTATCTGCATACACAGCTGAAAGCTATTTTCAGGTGGTATAGATGCATTAATGCAAGTTTCTTTGTGTCATTGTAGAGAGAAGGCATTGCAAGAAAAAATGATATGGAGGCAGCTTGTGTTGGAGATGAGCCATTCTATTTTAACCACATTTGCAGTGATATGCTCAAGTGTTTCACTTGCCAAATAGATGGAAACCCTGTGCTTTGCTTAGATAAAGTGGATTTGGGTCTTAAGTAATCAGGCATGTCTTCTTTAAGTTATAATCTTCTGGTTTGTCTGTCTTCAGCCAGAATTCTTAGGGAAGCTGATTAATCTGAGTACATGGTATGGTGCTCACTGTGCAGTAACTACTTCATCAGTCATATGTTTGAATTTCTGGATGATAGTAAGGGCCAGGTCCTTTGTCTACCCAAATCCTGCCCAGTCCTATCTAAAAATTACCTGTAAAATTTCACTTCATCTTTCCATTCTCATGAGTTCTTTGAATTCTGTGGAATTTGACAGAATATCATATATTTCATGAATCTGCTCTGACTGATCCACAGACAGGCACATGTGGGAGTGGCAGTGAGGATGAAAACATTGCTATATCATTGTTATTACAGTTCCCAGTGCTTATAGAGAGTTTTCAGTTTACGACCATACCACCCTGAACGTGCCTGATCTTGTCTGATCATGGAAGCTAAGCAGGGTCAGGCCTGGTTAGTACTTGGATGGGAGAGTTTTCAGAGTTTTTAAGTTTTAGGACAATATTGGGAATCCAGCCCTTTTGATTTTTATTTTGAGACAGGATCTTGGTCAGTTGCCCTGGTGTGACTGAAACTTGATATCTGATTACAAGTGTGTGCTACAGTGCTTGGCTTCTCTGGGTTTTGTATGATCATCTGTCCTAGTTCATTTTGTAATGCTAAAACAAAGTGCCTGAGACTGGGGCATTATCAAGAACAAAGAATTATTTCTTACCGTTCTAGAAGTTGGTAAGTCCAGACCTGAGGGGCCCACATCTTGTGAGAACTTTTCTTTGTTCTCCCTTATCTCGTGGCAGAAGAGGAAGAGGTGGCCAAATTCAGGTTTAACAAACTCACCCAGTGGATCAATCCACTCATGAGAGAGCAGAGCCCTCCTGTGCCAGTCATTTATTAAAAGTCACCCTTCAGAGCCAGGCATGGTGGTGCACACCCATAATCCCACCACTTGGGAGGCTGAGACTGGAGGATCGCTGAAAGTTTGAGGCCAGCCTGGGATGCATAGTGAGTTCAGGCCAGCTTGAACTACAGAGTGAGACTCTGTCTCCAAAAAATAAAAAATAATTAAGAAGTCCCACCTCTCTACTTGCATTGAGGGTTATGTTTCTGCCACATGAGTTTTGAGGGACTTATTCAAACCACAGCCTCATCTTATTGGAAATAAGCATGGAAGTGGGCATTGAGACTGTCCTGAAAAGCATGAGATGTTTATACTGCTCAGTCAGGGACACACACTCTGAGCCTTGAAGGACAATTAGATGATGAATTCCTAGCTCTGAGCCTGCAGTGTGAGCACATCCACTACACATCACATGATCTGTGGAAACGGAAGTCTTTTTGAGGCACAGTTTTTCTTGTATGTATTGGCAGACTGCATGTGTAAATTCAGAAATTCCTATTTTACTCATTCTGTTTTCTTTCATAGGAATTCCAAAAAAGAACTAAATGATATTCGATTTGAATTTACTCCTGGGAGAGGTAAGGTATCAAAAAGATTGAAAACAAATAGCTTTGACGTTTTATTTAATTAAATGTCAAGTTCTTGGTCTTTAGATTTATTTTGCTTTTAGAAGATGATAACAATTGTTTAGATTTTGGGAGACATACGAATAAAATAAAAATGCAGGTGATGTACTGTAAAGCTCATTTGGAAAACCCAGTACAACATAGATAGTAATGAATACATCTTTTACTTACTGCTTACGATGGGCCAGGTGTTGTTCTGAGCATTGTCTCATTAAACTCTCATAACAGCTCCCTAAGAAGAAATTACTCTCTTTAATAGATTATGAGACCAAGAGTTTCAGAGAGGCAAAATAACTTGTTGACGGCCACACAGCTGGAAAGTGGTAGCTGGTGTTCAAACAAGGTTTTTCCAGTGTAAAGGCCTTACCCTCATCACTGTGCATGCTTATTCTTTGTGATAGTAAGAGGAAATAAGGCCTCCTATCCCATTTGTTGCACTGTTCCTGATTGTGCACTTCACCCTGGAATAAGGCTTGTTATTTTTCTTGCCTTTGTTACATAGGGTCATTATTTGGGGAGTGGCTAGCGGCCAGCACATAACTGCTCAGTGTCCCACATTGCTGTTTTGGCCATGTTAGTGTCAGCAACTGACCATTAAAGTGAGCAGGTGCAGACATACAGAAGTGTATGTTTTACTTTTTAGAGCCAAGCAGTCACACTTTCAGGAATTAATTAAAATTGCTGGTCAGCTATGTGGGTGTGGGTCTCAATGTCCAGCCCTCAAAAAGTGGTACCACTGAGTCATTGAAGATGTAGTTCATTACAAGATAGTCCATCCTTTTCTTTTTAGTTTGTAGTTACACCTGTGCTCACATTGTATCTCCTGAGATGACTGGGTAAGGAGAAAAGCCATAATAAAAAAGAAAATGATATTAGCAAGAAACTTGAAATAGGATTCCCCAAAGAGAAGAGATTATAGTTTGCTCTTTCTTGAGAAGAAATTATCTTTGTTACTAGTACTGGAGTTGTTCTGTATTTAGCTTCATGGCTGAGAACTCAGGTAGCTCAAGTCCAGGGTTGCTCTTGAAAATGCAAATTTCTTGTGTAGTGCCAGTGTTTGGGGTTCTTCTGACATGAGCCTGAGCCCTCTGTATTGCATCATTTAGAAAATTATCTGTACTTTGAGCTGATATTTGCCACCCAGTTCCTACAGATTCTGCCCTCTAGCCAGACTGGTGAGAATACCTCACTTGAGAGAATCCCCAGTGGAGGAAGAGCCCACCTGCCTTCTTGTTCTGTGGATGTAGAAGTTAGCTTGGGTCTCAACGCTGGCCGTGAGAGTTACCAGTGAGCTGTGTGCGCAAGAAATGGAGCACCTTCTTTTCTGTCCTTGCAGACACAGCGGAGGGTGTCTCTCAGGAACTAATTTCTGCTGGCCTGGTCGATGGAAGAGATTTAGTAATCGGTAACTACTGTGTGCTTTGCCCTGGTGCTTCTGTGTCTGTGTGTTCTTAGCACCTAGAAAGCCAAAATTTTATTCCATTGAATAGGTTAGCTCATTCTTGTAATTGCTTGTTGGCTTGGTGGAAATTACGAGTATTGATTACAGTTCCTAACCAAAGCTCCTGCCTGTCCCACTTCTGAGTTTGCTTGGGGACCTTTGATGTAGTAAATGAAAGTTCATCCTCACCTTTGGGACATTGTAGTAGGAACGATGACAGAAGTCACAGGTTATTTCTATTTGGTGTACCTAATTGGTATACCTAATTGTGGTACACAGAGGTAAGTAAACTTGAGTGATTTAGTTCTAGAAAAAGTAAGGAAGGGAAGAGAGTTGGGGTTAGGTCAGTCACGGCTATATATCACTGATGGGAAGAATAATCATTTCTGACTGATAAGCAAAGTTTTTCTGTAAAAGGTCAGATAGTAAATATAGTAAGTTCCTGACTTACTTGTGAGTTCCATTGCAGGACAGTGTTCATAGGTCAGATTCATTTTTAAGCCCAACAGAGAGTCTTCTACAGTATACCTGTGAATGTTCTCAGTTCGAATGTTCATAAGTTGAAGACTTGCTGTAGTTCAGGCTCTGTGGGCCAGGTAGTCTGTCATTTTTAAACCATTCTTAATTTCCAGGCAGAACAAAAATAGGCCTCAGACCATACTTTGTTAGTTCCTACTCTGAAGCTTTCTGATTGTTCACGAACAGGCAGATCATAGCTCTTTTACCAAATGCCTATCCTAGTCTCCCGAATGCATTTTAAGGAAAGTTAATCGGACAGTTATTCAAGATTTATATGTGTATAGACTAGAGATGAGTTTAAAATATACTTTCATTTGGGAAATGATTGATCCTTTTCCTTTCATTTGGCTTATACATAGAAAATTTTCAAGCAGGATTTAAGCTTTTGAAATATGATTAAAGTGGATTTATATAGCTTCTTATTCATTATTTTCTCTTTTTTATGATTACAGTGGCTGCTAATTTGCAGAAAATTGTGGAAGAACCTCAGTCAAATCGATCTGTCACTTTCAAACTGGTATTCATTGCTTTCTCCTTATTAAACCATTGTATCTTTTAAACACCCGTGGCCCCAGCAGATCAGTTTTTACATTCCTTGAATGATGAGAATAGTAAATTATAGAGGATTGTCCTCATTTTGTCCTGAGCTTCTGTCTCCCTTTGAGTGGCTTGCCTTCCTTTCTCCCTCTCAGAAGCCTCACCCCAAGCTCTCTTCTCAGCTATAAGCTAGTATGACTCAGCTATACACCCAGCCCCTTCCCTTCTGGAAAACACCTTCATCAGCCTCCCATTTGTATTCCAGGGACCTATTGCCACTGCCTTGCTTTCTACAACCCCGTATTGGTTTTAAGTATAACCTGAAATTTTGTTTGTAAACAGCCACAGCTTGTCATTTTGTTTGGTTCTCAGGCTTCTGGTGTTGAAAGCTCGGATATTCCCGATGATGGAAAACTAATAGGATTTGCCCAGCTCAGCATCAGCTAAACCCCAGCCGTGCAAGAAGTGGCCTGAGGAGATTCTGCACAGCACATCTCTGTTGCTTCTGTTGGCCTAAACTCACTACTGCCAAAGAACCCAGCAACAAACCTCCCGTCTAGGAGCTTTAGAGTTCTTTATGTTTTTCCTGCCATCCTTCTCCCTTTTCCCCACAGGGAAAGAAAAGTTGGGTCACCAGTGACCAGCATCCCCTTAAAGAGTTCCGTTAGTAAATGTGCTGCACACATCCCCTGTCTTCCTCTGTCTCAGAAGTGGCCCACATGCCTCACGGCCAGGAGGGAGATCTCTCAGCTTGTTCTTGCCTTACTCCAGTGATGGCCCAGGTGGAAAGTAGCAGCTCTATGGACGTCCTCATCTTGCCTGTTCTCTCACACCTGCCACAGTGTGGGCATCTTGGGTTATGTCTTTACCATGGAAGTAGCGATTAAAAGTTGATTGTTCAGCGGGAGCCCAGAGAATTTAATTCGTGTTTTTTATTTTTGTTTTGTTTTGTTTTTTTGGTACCTGATGTGAATTCTAGCGACCTTTGTTAGAAAAAAAGCACAGCCTCACATGGAGGCAGCCTAAACTGTGTTCTTGTTTTGTTCATGGTTTGTCTAAGTGTTTTGCTGAAGCTGCTCTCAGGCACCCCATTCTCCATTGCTCCCTCCAAAAGGGTTGCTAGCCTTAACTTCAGCTGGTGCAAAACATCTGACTATAGTCAAACTTCAGCCATTAGATTCTTCAAAGTGGAACTTTGGACTGTTTTTTTGCATTACATGTTCATTTTGCATTAAATCACGTAATAGCTTATAAAAGTAAAATTTGCCAGAGGTGGTTTTTGAAAAGAAAAATCAGAACTCATCATTGGGGAAGTATTTATTTTCAAATTTTAAAAAATTAAATTGAAAAACTGCTCCTCGATACTCCTATGAGAATTAGTTCACCTGGCCTCCAAGTCACAAGGAAGTGAGTGCAAGCAAGGCTGAGATTTCCACAGCAATAAAGGAGACTTGCCCTGGGCTCGAGGCCTGCCTTCTGCCCCTCCTGCACTGACTCTCTGGAGGGGTTCCTGTGCGCTAAACCTGACTCATGATGGAAAGTGAAACCACATGTGCCGTGACCTTTAGGTTTTATGAGTGGACAATGTTCATTTGATTTTCTACAGAAATTATATAACTTATTCTTTAGGTTTAAAAAAGCACTCATAATGCAATATGTGAATAATCAGTGGGGTTGATTTTCCTTTCTTCCTACTGTTTCATAGTCTTTGTCTAACTACTAATAACCGTATGATGTTACCAAGTTTTATACATGAATAAGATACTTGATCTGGCCTTAAGGAGACACACACAGGTGGGCTGTAGGCTCATGGAAAGGAGAAAGTTGCCTTTTATAGAATCACTTGAGCCCTTCCCAATATTGTTGGACTGAAGAACAAGGTTACTGTACCTGGTTTTCTTTTGGAACACATCTGACAGTTTTCCCCATAACTGCTCATGCTGCCTTTTGTTTTGTTCTTCCTGAGCCTGTAGCTCTACTCATCGTCTTTCTTTACCTGCTTGGTTGGGTACAGAGTCATGTTGGAAAGGGTGGAGGTTGAGGAGGGGAAGGTGATGGATTTGGGTGAGGTTTGGGAGAGAGTCGATTAGAGAACTAGACACCACATTCCAAGGTCATTGCAGGATTGGTTAAAGAGGGAAGCCTGCTGAGTCAGGAGGGAGAGAAAAGATGGATCAGCTTTCTGGAAAAAGTTAGTGATTTTCTTTTGGGGGGTGTGGGGAGTGGAGATGAAGCAGGGTTAGGGAAGTGGGAATGGAGTACGGGAAGGAGATAATGTTCTCTTTGGCACAGGATCAGTGGCTTTCTTAGAGTCTGCTCTTCGGTTTCAAAGAAAACCATCAAAATCTATTTACTTCTGAGCCTTTGAGGGGTGTCAGACCTGTTGTTGCTATGATTTGGGGGTGGTCTGGCACTGGGCTAGGCATGAGCAGCAGCCTATCCCTCGTTCACTTTCTCCAGCCACCATTACCTTTGAACCTCAGTGGGGCAAGCCTGACAACTTGAAGGGGGCAGGGGCTTTTTGTTTTCATTTCTGTTACCCTGTGGGAATTAGGAGATAAACCCCAGTCTCAGGACAGTGTTATTTCTTCTGCATGATGATGTGTAGTGAATTCCTTCTGCTGACTTGTGCAGTGATGCTGAGAAAGCAGGTAAACAGAAACTGCCCAGGTGGAATAGCACGAAACCTTCCAAGAGTTGTGGTTCTGAGTGTTCCTCTGTCACTCGGTCCCCAGGATACCCTTGTCCCTGGAGTATATAGCTATATTAACTGTATAGCACAAGGTAATATGTGCCAATGCTATTTGTGAAATGTATGGTCTTTCTAAAGGACTAATGAATTGGGGTGTTTTACTTAAGTTTTGAACGAAATCCTAGAGCCAGCTGGTACTACTTAATGATCTGCAGGATAGAATAATGGTGTATCAGTAAACGGACGTTCCTCCTTGTGATGTATGCTAGATTATGGAAGATGTAAAATATTCAACTCTCCCACTTTTGACTTTGTATTTTACTGCATGTTTTCTTCGTTTTTAATCAATAAAGAATAAGTTATCCTTAGTGGTGTATGGATACTTTACGTCAGTGGCCGTTGGTGAGGAGCTGGGGGATGTGGGTCATTACTTTAAGTTTTCATGCAAATAAAGAGAAGCCAAAGGTATATACAAAGTATGAAATGTGTGTATAGTTATCTAGAACAGCTTGTAATAATTGTGTAAGTGGGAAATCGAAACTCCCAAAACAAAGGATGAGGTGCGTTCAAGGAAGTTTGACAAGGTGAGACGATCTTCCTGCATTATGTTTTGATCGTTTCTCAATCTCTGGTCCTGTTCATTGTTATGGGCAGGAGAAGATGCCACACTCAAGCCTTTGGGAGTCCCTCTTGGAAAGTGTACAGTAGGACTGTATTTGACTCTCTGGTTTTCATATTGAATTGGTGGAGGCTCATGTATGGACTTGGCCGTTTTGTATTCCTGTCAACCACCTATGGGGTGAATAATCTCCCTGTCATGATCCTTCCCAAGAGAAGTGGCCAAAGCCCATGATGGGACTGCTTGTAGGCCCTGGTATTTAGAGGACCGGCTGTGGAACCTTGGCATTGACAGCTCTGTACAGCCTGCAGCTAATGGGTTTACTTTCAAAATAAGCAGGTTACAGAAGTGGGGCCAGAAAAGTGACTGGGACACCTGAGGGGCAAGAGCATAGGAACAAGAGTAATTGGGCCCGTCTACTTTGTCATTCTTTCTGACTAGATCAGAGCAGGTCATTAGGCCTGAAATGTAGCCTTACTTCTTGCAAAGTACTGCAACAGTCTCTTCAGAGATTCTGCCTTGGGGTCAGTTCACCTATACTGATAGGTCATTAAATAGACTTCTTCAGAGCAGTTGTATTTTAAAAAATTTATTTATTTATTTTTTTGTTTGTTTGTTTCTACCGGGGATCAAACTCAGGACCTTGCACTTGTGAGGCAGATGACGGCCCCGCTGAACTAAATCCTGGCCTATTCAGAGCACTTTTAGTCTCACAGCAGAATCAAGTGGAAAGCAGAGAGTCTGCTCCCTTGACCTCACACATGAACAGCCTTACCTGGTTTTGTGACTTGACTGGATTAAGAAATGCCTAGCAGCCAGGCATGGTGGTGCACACCTGTAATCCCACCACTTGGTGATGCTGAAGCAGGAGGATCACTGTGAGTTCGAGACTTGGGCTACATAGTGAGTTCCAGGTCAGTCTCAACCACATAGTGAAACCACCTTTTTTTTTTCTTTTTTTTTTTGAGACAGGTCTCACTATGTGGTTGAGACTGACCTAGAACTCACTATGTAGCCCAGGCTGGTCTTGAATTCACAGCGATCCTCCTGCCTCAGCCTCCCGAGTGCTGGGATTACAGGTGTGCATCTCCATGCCCAGCGCCTGATCGCCATTTTTTAAAAGTTCCATTCTGTTTGAATGGGTGTGTATTTTTTATTAGTACATGTTTGTGATTCAAAATGAATACATTTATCATGGGGACTTGATACTTATTCATATCATATCTTAGTTATTTTTATACCCCCGCATCCCTAGATTCCCCCTCACGGGTGTGTCCTTTGCTGGTGCCATTTCCTCAGACCAGTTTTGTCAGTCCTTCAGTGCAGACTCATACCAGTGACTCCAGGGAGCCTTCAGTCTTCGCCTAGGCCTGCATCCTGATCCCTCGTTTGATGGCTTCCAGCCACACAGTAAATGTTTGAAAGTGTTGATTCTCTTCTAGAGAACTCCAACCAATAGTGTTAACATTTCATACCAGAGTAGTAAGTTTGGTAGAGCTGGTAACCTGCATGGGCATACCGTTATCACTCAAAATCCACAGTTTGTGTCAGGACTCCTTGGTATTAAACATGTAATTACTTCCTTTTAAAAAATATTTTTATTAGCACATATTGATTAGTCTATGACATTTTAATTTTAATTTTATGTATTTATTTTGGTACTGGGGATTGAACTCGGGACCTTGTGTTTGTGAGTCAGGCGGCGTAGTCTATGCCTTTGAACAAGTGGATTATGAATGACATTTGGCCACGATTATGGTATTACAGAGAACAGCTTCGTGGCCCCAACAATCCTCTCTGTGTTGCTGGTATTCCACCAGTGTCTACTAACTCCTTCCTGGGAACCACTCACATTTTTTCTCTCTTGCCTTTACCAAAATGTTATAGTTAACATCATACAATGTATAGCCATTTCAGACTAACTTCTTTCACTTAGTCACACACATCTAAGTTTCTACTGTATCTTTTCATAGCTTGATTCTTAAATCTTTTTGGCACTGGATTCCACTGTCTGTAACACTATCCATTCACCTAAGAACATCTGAAGGACAATCTTGATTGGTTCCAATTTATGGCAGTTAGGAATAAAGCTAAATATCCATTTGCAGGTTTTTGTGTGGACTGAAGTTTTCAGGTAACTTGGGTAAGGAGCATGATCACTGCATCCTACAGTAAGACTTTCATTTTGTAAGAAAATGTGAAACTTATGCAAAATAGCTGTGTCACTGTGCACCTATCCAGTGATGAGTGAAAGTTTTTGTTGTTCTACATTTGTGATAACAGCTGTGTTGTCAGGATTTAGGATTTGGCCACTGTATACATGTATCGAGATACCTGATTTTTTTTTTTTTACATTGAGTTTATTGATACTTTTTAAGTATATAGTACAGTTACATTCATCATTGGTATCTTGTACCTTTGTATGACAGGTCTTGGTTCTCATTTTTTTCCCCATACCCCTGCCCTCCCTTCACCTCC